GTCTCCCACAACATGGTTAGGGGACCACGAGCTGGATCTTCCTTCTGGAAGGAATGTGCTACGGGGATGCTCGATTGCCGATATGGCTTCATCGCGTATATGATTCTTTGGGTTTATTCCAAGACAATAGGTATTTACTCGTTTGAATTGCCGCATGACTAGGGCTAATATGACGGAAGGTCAAGTCAGTGGAGTTGACGCCTATAACTGCCAATATGGATTCATAACAACGTATCTGGGGTGTTGACTGAACCCCACCAAAGTCTTTTCCCAAAACACAGGTATCTATTCCCATTCTCATGAGTGCATGCAAAGACGCTTAGTCGATATCTAGGTCAACCCATGGTGTTGGAACGAAGTCCGGCTGCCGTGACGGATGCTTGACAGTCCCGCTTCTATTTGCCGTACTCTACAGTCTACACACAATTGCATGCACTTCGAATCCGAGAATATCGAGAACTGGGTATGGGTCCCGCAGCCTTCTCGCTGGTTCACAATTGATCACCTCAAGCACACTGCGGAGCGATCAGATCCGATTGCAGAGCACGCTTGTCTTCGAGAAGAATGAAATACTCGGAGCAAAGTCACGGAGGCATACAAGGCTTGACCAACGGACAACTCTCACCAATATTCATAGCGATAGTATTCTTGCAGTCAAAAAGAAATGTGAGTCGTCCATATTGATCCATGGAATCTTCATCTAATCCAGCATTCGATTAAGCAGACTTCAGCTTATGCCTCGATTCCTGCTCCCCTCTTGCTTGCGAATTATACTGTGAACGGCTCGAATACGTTCGAACAAGCAGGTACTGGTAGCCACAAGGGACAGACTATCCCATACGCTTTATAAAGATTATGCAAAATGGCGCATTTGCCGCATTGCTCGCGCCGAGGGTTGGTTCGGAGCCTGGGAACCGCCTCACGATGAGCAAAAAACACCACAAGACGAGAAGTCATGGAGAGTATGCAGCCAAGCCGAAAAACCAAGGAGTCAGCAGTTCCTTGAAAAGAACCAAATCCAGAAGCCTATTTCCCTTTGCCATTGAGTAACAGTCGTTGTCTAATGCCTCATGGTAGCTACTCGTACGACGCCTGCAGAGAACTTCCCATATCTCGCTGCGAACACACGCAGCTCTCTCATTTGCACTTCGCAAAGCTAGGGAGGTCTCATTGCCACAATAAGGCCTGGACGTTACCCCGAGCCCTAGTCTTCGGTGGCTGGCTCCAGACGATGGGATTCAGGCTTTCTAGGGACGGGTAAGGCTTTGACTTTGATGGGAATCGCAGCTGTTTGCCGCCTGCTAGGCATCCATAAAACTTAACTGGACCGTTCAAAACGGAAAGGAGATTTGCAACCGTCCCGGTCACAACTTCGTCCGGGTTGGAGAACATATTGCCCCCCGTGACCACCTCCCAATTATGTTCAAATAAAGTCACGGCATATCAGGTGGATGGGTCAGTGTACTATCCCTGTGTGCATGGTGGGGAGGAACATCGACGGCAGTGCATACTGCCTAAGTTTAGGATGCCACAACCTGGGTATGACGAGAACATCCCAGAGGGGCCTGTTGTGCGCGAGTAGCGCGTACGCATATTGAGTGACTCCGACTCGGGCGTCGACTTATTATCTTCTGGGGAGTACAACACCCAGCTGCAGTCTACCTCGTCGCCAACTTGAGAGAAGGCTACAGACCAACTGCGGAGAATACGTGCGAGCCATAGTTGCTCAGCACTTCTGGTCTCAGATCCAGTACGGCATCATCGCTGTGGCAGACATGTCCGGGTTTCCTAATTTGGACGCTGGCAGATGTACAGTTACTATCAATCAACCCGTCTGGTACCTACCAGGGAAACGATGGGGTCGGGGTTGGAGGGAGAAAGCTTGCGTCCTAAAAAAGTCTACTGGTCTACACGCCGTGCGTGGAAAATGACATAAGACTCACCATTCACGGGGCGCACGGTATGGGCCTGCTGTGTCTTTGCATCCCGTAGACACATCTAAGTGCCATTCTCACCAAGTCCCGTTCTCACGTCTCACTGGGACGAGAAAACGGGCAGGTGTGCATATTCTTCGCGCACTCGGAAAGTGAGGGTGCCATACCCTTAACAGGCGGAGACGAACGACAGTCCACTGTCAAGACCAGATTTATTGCTCTGAAGCGAAGGAAGGATGGATCTCTGTAGTCTATCTCCGAGGAACCTACTGGGTCCCGAGGAAGATGGCTTTACTATCTGGCGTTGCAAAGTTTGGTTTAAACATATTCGGGGTGGTGAGTTACTACCGCTTCTTCACTCGCAAGGCAAACCCTAACACTCAGGGCAGGCAAATGCGTATCATCCCGAACAACCATTAGTCGCGGAAGTTTTCAAGTCATCCTCGCTACTGAGGGGAAGGGAGCAGCACGCACGCAGCAACCCTGCCCTTCGTTCTACAAGTACTTCCTGGCAACGCTATGCCCTCTCCGCTCACGTTAAGAGTTCGAACTCATTTGGCCGGTCACAAATTCATGGACGGGAAGAACGAAGCCGCGCATGAACGAGCAGGATTGTTCACCCGCCTGCCGTAGCAATGTCTGATTTCGACGATAACTTCCCCAAGGGGATTGGACTCAGCAGTCAGTCCCAGCTCCCAATTGATCCCATCCTCTGTTCTTCACTTCGACTGCCGTCACCAGGACACACACGACCAGGAAGCAAACCGAGAAGACTCAGGAGAATGGATTGCAAACTCTCAAGTGCAAACTTTCTCCTAAGATTGTTGCCATGGTGCTTGGCGGAGACACATGGCAACTCCAGCCCATGGGTCACACAGCGAAAGAACAACCAGGATGGAACGAGTTCAGTTATCAGATGGAGACGTCCCTTGTTGTCGATTGATCCGCGCGAACCATCCCGTCGTGAAACTGACAGAATAACGCTGTTTCCCAAGCCACCCAACCAAGTGTCGCGCCGTTTTTGAGCAAACGCATTTACAAGGACGAAATGCGCTCTCAACCTGTGACCGACTCCCTGAGGGTTAACCCTTATTGGGACAAAATGGTACGCAACGTTTTCCAACACGCTCGGACAGATCTCGATACCGGGCATTCGTTCTCAGACTGATGAGAATGTTATTGCAGCAACGCTCATTGCGGGTGAATCCATATATTCTTTTCATGGAGTGAATCTACAATACGAACAGGTATAAGTTGCCTCTCCTGGATATGGCTGCACGGAGTCAAACAAAACATCCTATCATGGGGTCTTGCATTCGTCAGTAATGAAGGCCCCAAGCGACAGAAGGGCAACAAGCAGATCAAATTCTCACCCCCAAGCACCTCTCAGCCACAGCAAGGAAGGATTCCTAGCTGGCCTACACTGGTAATCCAAACCAGAGTGAGCGCATGCATCCAAGCTGGAGCCGGACGCGAAATGGTGGTTCGAGAATTCCTAGGGTGACGTCCGTATTGTCATCTTGATAGTCGTAGAACCGACATACGTCAAATTTGAAAAATGGCAGCATGGCAGCTTGTGCCGCTGAATGTTCCAAGGCCTGTCACACGAGTCTACATCCCTCCCGAATCCGGTGTTGCTGGATTGCCATTTTCGGATAGCGGAAATCTTGAACGCGAGCGGAATGAGCGAGTTTATAGACCGCGAGATTCGTGATTGGGAAACCCTAAAAGGTGGCCCCGACGCCTACCAGCTGCGACCGGACGGTTCCACAGATGTTACTCGCTACCTGAACGCCGGCTTGTGGCAGCATGTGGCAGTCTGAAAACGTGTTGTTTTTCCTCCTTCTGTACGATGGGGAGCCGTGCACTTAGCGAAGGTGCTTATGTCTTCGGCAATTGTCCATCCAGACCTCCGGGAACTACCCTCATTACTAAGAACACCATGGAGCTATTGAGCATCAAAGTGAGGTTCTTGGGGAGTCCAAGTCCTCGAAGAACTATACCTTGGTGTCATCGAGTGTGGTCAAGTCGCTTGCATCCGGCAGCGACTCTGGTCCCGAAGAGGCATGGCATTGGGATTGGGTACGGAATTCCCATATAAGACGTTCGTTCACGACCTCGAAGGCAGTGTACCACGCCTTGCCTGCACCTGGAGGCTCGTTGCTTCAATTTTGATTTGTGCCAAGGGACATCGCGAGCTTCGACGATTCGGATATGTCATGTGGGACCAGCAGGTCTCGAGCAGTGACAGTGCGCTTTTTCCAGGCCCCTCTGCAAGATGATGAGACTAAGGTCGCAGACGCTCTGTCATGAACTACCAGCATGAATGGTACAAGAGCAGAGACATTACCCTCGTCACCCCTTACACCGCTCAACTAGTAAGGATTCTTCCGAATGGCGCAGTTGGAGATCCTCAGTCCAGAAGATGTTCCAAATGTGTCAACTACGAACTCGGTGTAGGGCAAAGAGTCAAGGCTTGCAGCCTGTACGAATTCCTTCCTTTACCTGGCTTAAGATTGCTTTGAACAGAACATGTAGCTTCTTGTCGCCCTCGAGATGTTCTCTTCTTCTCTTTCTGGTATTCCGCATTCGCTTATCCTACCACGGTTTGTGGTCGACATTGAGAAGAGTCAACCGGAAATTACCGATGAACGCATATCCGCTTCCCCGACAAGATAATATACTGAAAAAGTATGCACCTTTCACTGCTTGGGTCTGCATCACTGCCGTCGACCAGGCTTCCTATTGGCACTGAGCGACGAGTATGTGTACGTACTTGAGAATCTCCGTTGGAATTGCGGCCTTCTGTGTCCCGCATGGTATGTGGATTTTATCTACCCTGATTAGATTCAAGCTAATATGTAACTAGGAATGTCTTCAGCCGGAGGAGCACGCCTGCTTCGACTCGGGGCAAGGCAAATCGCACGATGCAGTTCGACAACATGTGCAGATCAGCTACAGACGTACATCAGCATGCAGGACGGGACACATCACACATTGAGTGAAGGAGATGTCAACAGAGCCTGGAACTCTATATTGCACAATTGGAAGAGCTAAATCCTCTCGATGAACTCCTTTCTGATGGCCCACAGGAAGACGCTTCCATCAAAGCTGCCAAAAGGAGCCACGGTCAAGCAAGTGTTGCAAGCCAAGATGGCCCTCAGTGAAGACCCTGATGGCATCCCTGAGGAGACTGAAACTGACGAACCTCATGGTTACCTTGAGGTGACTGAGGATCAGCTCGAAGAAGCAGTAAATGCTATCGACCAAGTCCATAGGAAGACGCCGCCATCAAAGCTGCCAAAGAAGCCAAGGTCAAGCGAGTGTTGCTAGTAGAAACGGATATTGCTGAAGACCTTGATTGTCTTCTTGAGATGGACGAAAAGCCTTCGGAAAAGGCCAATGGAGGTCTTTGGAGTCTGGAACTCCATATTGAACTGGGTTTCTGACCCGGTTAATGGGTTCATCACGCACCCCACGCTATGCACACGCAATACGGGGGAGAGATGGGATTTTTCCGACTCTCATACCATGAGGGTAGCCGGAGGGACTCGCCAGTCCTTCCTAATCACTCAATGCATGCCGCGGGAATGGACTCTGGAACTCCATTCTGAACTGGGTGTTTGACCCAGTGAACGGCTATATCACTTGCGCGAGTCGACTTTTCTTCGTCGTTCCCAAGACGCTCCCGCCGAGTCCCTCTCTCTTCCTTCTACGAAGGGCAAAAAACGGTCGACCCCATCGGTAGATACCACCCCTTCAAAACGGCGACGTCGTGGCCATCCCATGGATGATAGCGTTCTTGCGTGGCCAATTTCGACTAGCGATTTCGAAAATCTAGAGCGACTACGATCGATCCATCAGGATCTAGCGAGGTTCACCAAGATCGTATGAAATCAGATCGAAGCTTTAGAGGCTATCGAAGTGGAGGAAGACGAAGAGGTAGAAGAGGTTGATGAGAACGAGAAGGCATACTGGAACCAAGTTCTTCTGGATCAGGGTAGTCACCGAGTTGATTTCCAGGACGCCGTCGATTCGACGCAAGTTCATTCGCTTGTTTAGTATGGGCCACCATGCATGACGATATAATTAATCATCCTAGTGCTACGATCAACACAACTGGAAGTCGAGAGAGAAAAAAAACTCTTGACCGACCCAAGGCCGCGAAAGAAAGTCTGGAAACTGCACACAACCACTGGCAATGCATCCCGAGCTGGAGCAGCCAGGGGCTTTTCAGATTTCAATACCCCGGAGGTAGCTGGATGAACACGCTGTTCCTTTCTCATTACGCAATGCAAGGGCAGAAGGCGAAGGGCAGAATGTAGTTTGGTTGGATGGGGCAGACCAGCTCCTCAGATACCTCAGCATGCAGCATGGAAGCAGCCGCGCCTCTCGACGCCCCGCGTATGGAATCCTCGCAATCGGAAGAAGAGTGCGCTTCTTCCAGTATGATCGTGCCACAGACCGAATCAGAGACTGCCGTCCAGGCAGTGGTCTGGGCGCTATGTTACGGAGGTAAAGAGCGTTATCCGCTCGAGCAGGAGGCTGCCTGGGTCCTGAATATTCAAAGACGGATGCTCAACAATCACTAACGCCTTTGTCGTCCTGTACTCGCGGACCACCTTTATTCCCCCGAGCAGGCCCCGGCTACCACCGTGGCCTTGCTTTGCTGCGCTTTCATCGCTATTCAAAAGGCAAGACTCCGAAAGGGTCAGTCTATTTCGAACAACACAACAAATGTCAGGGTGGTTATTCTTCATGTTGACCATCTATGTATCCATTTATGGTGCACCTTTCAGTTGCTGCCATACAGTCTCTGCTCTACCCGGCGGAATTCAGCCGGCAAGAATTAAAGGAAGAAAATCAAGGGACCTTCCCCATCTTTGATGAGCCCTAGCGAGTCCGACTCCTTGAACTGCAGAGAAGCTCAAGATGGCATTTTGCGCGCTTGCAGTCCTTATCAAGAGTCAATTTGACATTTGGCGCAGCCGCCAGATTGTCAGAGCAGAACCTCAATGGGAACAACCTTCTACCTGTTCGTCTATATTCGTCATTCACGACACCAGGTGAAACTGACTTTTGGACATTGATGGCGCCGACTAATCTATTCCCATAGCAGCGAATGGACCGGCTCGCTCATCTTCCAAAGGTCTAACATTTCTTTATGAACAGCAAAGACAGGAAACTCCTACTGTTCGCGCGACACCTTGCAATCAATCTCTCGGCTGATCTGCAGAGTCGAAAGCACGTGCATTCCGTTCGAATGCGAGATGGATAGAAAACACTTCGGAAGAAAGCACAAAACAAACGCAAACGCGAAGAAGCGAAGATGCTTCGGACGCTTCAGCTCACCCCAGGCCCTCACACCACGATGACGATGAGCACCCATGAAGGAGGGGGTGGGGAAATTCACTTCCGTCCAGTTGGTAAAATGAAAATACAACCACTCTGTGGCCCAGATGTCAGCCACATCGCTCGCGCTGTTTTCAAGCACCCATCATCTATATGGATACGCCGGCTCGCAGAGCTAGGAATCGAGACCGTCGTAAAGAAATGACTCTCTTGCTCTATGAACAGATGGGCATCTAGAGCGGCAACGCAACTGTGGAACAGGGGTCACCAATTCTATTCGACCCACGAACGAACAAGGCTTCTGATGAGAGCTTCGCTGACGTTCCGGCGGTCAGACCCAGTTTTGCACAGTCAAGTAGCATCTAGTACCCGGCCATCCACACTGCTCTGTATTCTTCAACTCGTTCGTTACTATCTTGGTCAGTCCTTGTCATCATCAATGGCTATCACAATCCCAAATTGTGAGGGTGCGATAGCAGTGGCGCAAAGAGAAGTTCCCTTTGCTTTAAACAAGATTCAGCAGAGGCTTGTTAGGTTGCTTAATACTTGTTGTGGGATTGAATAGGCCTCAAGAAATGACGTTGATGTGACTAAGGAGATTATTCCGAAGCCCATCAGCTCTAAGGCTGAGGCGGAGGCTGAGGTAGAACTTCTACCGAGGAAGCCGATGAAGTCGAGGAAGCCTATGTCGATGGGTTTCGATAAATGGACGACGTCTACGGTTTCCTTTGTTATTTCTTTTGGATCGATATGTACTTGGCTCGACCCCATCGAAGAAACGTCGCCGCAACCCTTTAGATGGGGCCGTTCTTCCTTGGCCTGTGGCTATGATTGATTTCGAAGATCTTGATCGTCTTCGCCTGATCCGATCTGATCTGTCCCGTTTCGAGAAGGTCGTTGGCAGCCTTCCTCAAATCCAGCGTCAAGTTGACGGCTTCACCTTCAAATCCTGAGACATTTCCTTCGCATTTATATTGATGGCTTCATGTTGCGAAGCGAGACGCTTGACGAATACAAACAGCATTTCCTGGGTTTCTACATTTCCTACAAGCCATTTTTCAACATTATAGAGGGTCAAAGAGAATGAACATGTGATCCTCGGAGACTACCACTGAGTCGATCCTCTTCCCCGAGATTCCGGGTTGGGAGTCGCTCAAGCTTCTTCTAGAAACAGATACCTCTTCTTAATCGACTTCAGCAACGCTCGTCACCCAATATGCAAAGGGCGAGAGTGCCGAGGTTATTGGTGGACACGCTTGGCTGATGCAAAAGACATCATTCTGAGACTGTCAGGCATGGAGGGGTGAGTTTCCATCAGCTTGTATCTTTCGTGGGTATTCATGGCTGTTTAGGAAGTCGAGACAGCGATCAACGCTGTGCTCAATATTCCTGGCATAACCTGGACAGCCGCTCAGCAAGAAGTATCAAGGTCGCTCCTCGAGTGGCCAGACCGTCTTCTGCTTATACAAGGCTTTCCAGGCACGGGTAAAACTTTGACTTTGATGGGAATCGTGGCTGGTTGCCGTCTGCTAGGAATTCACGTCATCTACACCACTCCACGCACATAAGTTTATGCAACTAACTCATATGTCTATGGACATCTTACGTGTTTACATGCGAGTTTCAAAAGCTAGGGCTTGCCAAACCCACGGAAGGGAGACAAGGAAGATAGCCACTGAAGACGAAGAGCAAAACTTTACCCGATCGGACCTAATGCCGCAAAGCGCTGTCGAAGGCCGGAAATTGGACGATCAGTGACTCTGCGTATAGAATCATGGTTACCACACGTTCCGCTCGCCGTGCTCGTGGTCATCGGGGCCGTCCCGCTGGTCGCGGACGTGCCGCACCACCTCTACGACCAGACGAGGACTCATCCCAATGAATGTGTCCTCTAAAAGCCAGGTTCTGATCTCTCCGCTCGTCAACAATATGAATGAGGATCACTTCGCTCAGACATACGGTGCCCCATCTGAATCTTTGGAGAGCCATGTGATCCATCTCGCCATGAATGAAGAAAGGACACTCAATACTTGCTAGAGCATGACTGCATGCCACTGTGATGATCTCGCAAGTGACGGCCCTTCATCTGTTCGTCGCCAGAGCCAACTACAACAGCCGTCTCGAGCTCATCTCGGTTCGGAACTCGCGTTGGTCGAACTGGCTCTTGGTAAATGAACTCGAATACTAACAGGGGATCGGTGTACAGGGCCTGGGCCGTCTATTCCGAGGGATATCTGGACACGTAGCTCCCCAGGCTGTTCGTGCCCTAACAGCAAAAAACGAGAGACCCTCCAAACGAAGGAGTTCGAGGCAAACAAGAAGAACTCTATGCCACATTCGTCAGCATTGAACACCTTTGGCGCTGCTTAAACTGCACCCCATAAAGAGCTTAGCCAGTGTTTTTCACCAATGACCCTTCCGACTCCGTTTATTGAATGTGGCTGGAGTGAGAGCTGGCGATGTACTCCGCTGCATTTGTATCTCGTAACAAGTTGCTGCAAGGGAACGATTTCAAAATTCCGGTGAAGATCATGGAAAAGTCAATGGAATTTGTGTCTACCTTCTACAGAGGTCTTACCCACTCCCCGCCTTGCCGTGCCAGCCCTGCTTCAAAGACGCCATGAGAGAGGGCAAGGAGTGCGACTGTGTCCGTGACGCTTCCTTCAGGAAGTGTCGTCGTTGCCAAAAGCATGGCAAACCTTGTTTGAAGATTCCGTTGCAGGTGCGTCGCCGGGCAGCCGCCTTCGCCGCGACGGCTCCGGCCGATCGCGACAAGGAGGCCTGCAAGTTGTTCAATGAGGAGTTGAAAGTCGTTACGGGTTTCTTGGAGGACCAGGAGGTTCCCCACTTGTTGCGGTCCCTAAACCGCAACATCTTTCGCCTCCTCGGCGTTGTGAGTGCTGTTGCCGGGCTTCCCGTTCCTGCTCCGGAGGAGGAGATCGAGTTGGAGATGTACGAGGGTGCGGTGGATGATAAGTAGTGTTTTCTGTACATAGTCGAGAATGGAAGGCCGCCGCTGGTTCGGCGAGGATCCTGCGAGTCGAGGTATGGTCTGGCGGACAATATATCATCTCGCTTCACAGCGATCCGAAACAGATGCACCTGTCGGCCATACTTGCTTGACAACATCACACGACGTGGTCTTATCCATGCAACTAACATTGAAGGCTGGTGCTCAGCACTTGAGAAACACTTCAGATTACCACCAAGTCAAGCCACGCAACGAACCTACATGTTACCAGCGAGGCAAATGTCAAACTTGCAGAAGCTCAAAGGACTATCACACTTGCCGCGCAAATACATTTCCTTCAACGTAGTATAGAGATACTACATACCTCATGGCACTATGGGGTGAAAAATCCATATGGCGTCGAATTTATGGAGTTCCTTTTACACAATCAGACACCCCAGATTGGCCCAAACCTACCAAGCACCGATGGTGAAACCCCCCTCATGAAAGCTATGCGCTCCGGGCTCCCGGATATGGTGAGATGGCTGAAGGATACCAGTGTTGATGTTAAACATGAAGACGGCCCCGGGACTACTGCAGCGCACCTGGCTGCAGAGCTTCCAACCGAGGAGAATATTACGATGTTGGAGATGGCCAGATACGGAAATTCCAAGTATGCACTCTCGTCATCTGTACCCCAAACAGCAGCCCGAATACACTGCGTAGCAGTCTCAAAGGCAGGCAGTTACCCCCAAGCTACGCGGTTCCGAACAGCGAGGTTTTCCTATCGTCCCAAGTCCAACCCAGGTATGGCGGTGTTTCTCGCCTAGTAGAAAGTCTCCTACCTCTGTACGATAGACTACTGTCTGCATACTTTTACATGCAGTAACAATTAATCTATAGCTTCGTATTCCATCTATTATTCTACGGTACCTAGTACAAGCCGAACTGGCAACTCATGTGGTCTTCGCGGCTCTGCCCTTAGCAGACGGCAGTCGTCAATCTGATAGGGCTATTTGCTATGGCAAACACACCTCTCCTTTCGTTTCTCTCCCTCTTAGCTAGATTTAGATCTCCGAGCTCCATTCTTCTCTTCTTTCATGAGGTCAACTCATGTGGGCATGGTGACTGCTGGCATTATCATCAGTATGCTGCGCTGCTGGGACGACGGTGACGCATGGTTAACTTCAACTTGTTACTACAAGGCAATTTGTCGGAAACTCTACCCTTAGCAAGCATGCCTGGCCACTACATCCTGTGGAAGTGCATCCATAGTTAAACACGTGGACTACTGTATGTCGGATCTCAAGTTGCAGATGGAGGCTTGATTCCTGATGCTGACAATGTATGTACAAGTATTTTCTATTTCTAGTCAGTTTATCGAGTACAAATTCGAAGGTACTTCTCCCGCAGTTGATAGATATCATCTGATGAGGCAATGTTTCTCCAAAAACGGTGGATATGTACTCACTGGCGTTTACCATACGTATGCGTTAAAGGGACAGAACTAGCTTTCAGCATTTAGAAGTTGATATTGAATTATGGATATGGAAAAGTTTTTGTTCAGCTCTTCGACAGAGTAGCAATCAAGAAAATTCATATCATCATGAACAAGTCAGCCGGTCCCATCTACTCCCAAACGCCGTTAATGCTGATCATGTAAACAAATCTAAAATCATGGCAGTACATCCTTGAGGATATCCTTCTGCGCGGCCGTCAGGCTGGTCGGGAACTTGACGTTCACGCGGACGATGAGATCGCCCCGCTCGCTCGGCTTCTTTGACATCGTCATGCCCAGGCCTGGGAACTTTTCTTCGTAGCCTGGTGGTGTGGGCCCCGGTTTGGAGACACGGATGGATTTGCCGTCGATTGTGCGCACGATACGTTCCCAGCCTGTCAGGGCTTCCTTGAGAGAGAGATCGACTGTTGTGATGAGGTTGTCGCCATGGCGTTTGAAGTTGGGATTCGGTTTCTATTCGCCGTTAGTATTTTTATCTGAACTTGGACTTGGACTTTGAGTGTTGGAATTGCAAGGACTTACCTCTGTAACGATGAGATGGACATCCTGGCGTCCGCCCTCTTCCTGATCCCCGACACCACGGTACTTGATCTTCGAGCCCGTCCGCAGACCAGGCTTAATATTGGCCTCCAGCGTCACGTCCTGGACGGTCCGCTTCCCGCTCGCATCGAACGTCTTGCTCTTCACCGTCACCTTCTTCGTCGTTCCCTTGAAAAGCTCATCCAACGTCAGCGGCAGCTCCTTCTCCACGACCGTCGGCTCAGGCGTTGGCGCCCGGTTCGCCTGCTGGAATCCTCCACCTCCCGCACCGCCAGCACCAGCACCAGCGCCGCGACTCGTCCTGAACCCACGACCACCACCACCTAGCCCACCGCTGAGGATATTGAACAGGTCATCGTCTTCCAATCCACCGCCCATGCCGCCCCCGCTCGCCTTCGCAAAGTTCCGGAAGATATCATCCGCCGAGCTGAAGCGGAACCCGCCGCCGCCGCCCGGACCAGTCGAGAAATGGAATGTGCGGGTACCCCCGCCGCCGGGCATCCCACTGAAGGAGAACCCGCCAGGCGTGCCGCCCTCGAAGCCTTCGAATCCGCCTGCACCGGGAGCACCGCCGGGCCCTGGGGCCGGGCCGCCGCGCAACAGATACTCGAGGCCGTATTGATCGTAAACTTTACGTTTCTCGGGATCGGAGAGGACTTCGTAGGCTTGAGAGACCTCTGCTTTTGTTAGCACGGCTTCACCCTTTTGACAAGTCTCGTGATCGGTAGTAACTTACCCTTGAATTTCTCTGCCGCCTTGGGATCATCTTTGTTCTTGTCGGGGTGATATTTCAAGGCGGCTTTCCGGTATGCCTTTTTGATGTCGTCTTGTGAGGCATCGGGTTTGATATTCAGAGCGTCGTATAATTTCGTTTCTGCAACCATTGTGTATATCTATGTTCAATGTGCTGTGTGGTATGGGGTAATTGACGAAGGTAAACAAGAGAACAATGATAATATAAAAGATTAGACTGGGGAAATGATCAGGCCACAATTGCACCCGTCATGCGATATTGCGTATTGCGTTGTGGAGGAGAAGATTGGTGTAGGCTGAAGGGGAATCTCGAATGACGTAGAAGATTCCTGTTGCGATAAGATGAGGCTTGTAGTTTGTTGCAGTTGCACGGTTGTCGGCAGGACGACAACGAACAGTTCGATTTCAGAAGGGATATATGCACGATACAAAGCCACCCTAATACGTTTTGTTTGAGAGAACTGTCAAGAGGAAGAGGAAGAGAAGTGGTTGGGCTGCTGGGTGGTTATCTTGAATCGCGGAGGGAGTGACGTGTGACGTTAATGGGCCGGTTCCCCGCCTGAGGCATGGAAGCTTCGAGAAGCTTCGATTGGTCAATGTATGATATCAAGTCGGTTTCAGGCAACGCCAATCTCTTGTAGTGCAGCGATAGTCTTGTTTTAAGCCATGTATTCCAAAAATATATCAGCTGTCAAGCTCTTGTTTGCAGTACAAGGAACCACATTGTGGCGGAATTGCCTCTTGCGGGGTAGATGAGGCACCATATATCCACGCAGTATACCCGGTATCTATATAGGGTATGTCCTATCAACATGCCTGGTAATATCCACTTCTTTCTCCACCACTATCCAATCTTTAATCAAAGCAGTCCCGTTGACCACGCTCTGGATCTGCTCTTTGGTGCAACTACTTCGCAATGACTGGATATAACATGTCGGCTCCGGACTCTCAGGTACCTCATTCTTGAACTCCCACGTCGAGGATGGGCCCTCGCTCGCGTAGGTCGCATTCTTCTGCAGTGACACCTTCCCCGTCGCAATGTCTCGATTAAACAACGCTCTGTGGAAGATCTCATATGCTGTCTGCGGTTGATACGCCGGCACCTCATGGCCCGCTTCGAAGACACGCGTGAAAGAAAAGTTGCCGTACTGCCGCACACGGCCCCCGATATACGACGAATTGGTCTGGACCGGGGCGTAGCCTGCTTCTTGGAACGGCTGCGAATCGGAATAGTTGACGCGCAGACTTACCTCTTCGCCGCCGTTCCAGGGACATGCGTAGTCCCGGTCTCCGTAGACGAGCGCCACTTTGATCCCCGAGTCGAGGACATACGCGAGATCCTCGAGGTACCCGTGAACATCGGAGCGCGGGTAGTCGCCCGTCGACCCGAAGGCGTTGTATGTGCTCTCCACTGAGACGGAGAAGTTGACGGGCACCCCCAGCGCGGCTTGCACCCAGTTCTGGTTCAGGAAACCTTGGAAATAAGGTGGCGGAAATGGATCTGGATCAAAGTGCGCAATATCGTAGTAGCCACGCTTGGAGAAGAGTATGTAGGGGCCCTCCACCTGGTTGCTGCAGTAGTCGTTCGCCTTTCGACAGGCCTTGTTGACCGTCTCGTTGCGGCCGGACATGGTTGGATCTCCCTCAGCCGCTAGCTCACGGCACTCGACTATCAAATCCTTGCAGCCACCGGGCTTACTCCACGCATTCATTGCCCTTTCGTAGACGGTTTTGTTGATCGCCTCGATGCCGTAGGTATTGTTGTACGCCATATCCGGGTAGAACGGCGCTTGGGTCAACAAATCCACGCACCCATTGATAATTCCCAGAGTGTCCAGGTGAATGTAATGATACTCATCTGGTAACGCCCCCTCTTCAATCTTCTCATTCTGTTCCTGAAAGAACGCCGTGAACGAGGGCCCGTACCGACCACCATATGACTCAGTCCAGATACTCACCCGGTCATCGTGCGGCTTGTACTCGGGGAATTCAGAGAACCACGTCTGCGCAAAGTGCCAAAGCGACCGCGCCGCATTCTCCGTCGTATTTGCCGTAGCCGTCGGATTCATACTGGGGAACGTGCCCACATAGAATGTATTGTTCTGCTCCGGCACTTTACCATCCGGGAATGCAGACACATTCCACGCAGTGGTGAGCTGGTTATACGTCCCGTTCGTAGGAACATCATAGCTGAACCCGACCTGGTTCGGCTGGTCAATGTACAGCATGTTGACGTAGTTGTTCCACGACCAGGGGTTGATCTCCGTTGAGTTGGAGTCGGCGTTTACCAGACACGGGCCATTTTCCTGCAGTAGTCCGATCATGGACGAGCTGCCAGGCCCGCCATTCATCCAGATGGCCAGCGGTGCGTGAATGGGATCATTGCGCGACTCGAAGAACCAGAAGAAAGTGTTGATGGGGTATTGCTGGTCGACATCAACGTCGTTCAGCGTGCCGGGCGGCAGATGTACATAGCCGGAGTACGATTTGACACCCGGGGTGGTTTCACAAATACCAGGCTGGACCTGTTAGCATTTTCCATAGGCTAGGTAAAGCGTCATACTTCTTTGTACGAAATCTTCACGCCCTCCTGGTGCTTCGAATGCACGACCTTGAGACCCTCTGGCGTGGGAGGGAAATACTGTGCCGACGCGGTCAACGCAAGACCAGCGGTCCCAGATAGAAGGGTTACAAGGGATAGCATGATACACCTCTCAACTCATCTGAATGAACGTATAGAGTAAGAACAAGATTAAGAAAGGCCAAGAAGCGCCTTATATTAAATGAGGATCTGAAGGAGTCACACGCAGCAGCCATGCTGATCCTGATTGATGATTGGTGGATGGAAGACGGGGAACAACAAATTGAGGAGCTGCGACAACAATGCCCCGGAATTAGCAAAAACTACCTGCTAATGACACTACCGGACTCATCTCTGATCACCTGCATTCAGCAGTCAATATTCCATCAGCCCTGTGATTCATTGTTAATTGAACTGGAGTTGCTCAATGTCCGCCATGTTGCAATAGAGAATGTCAAATACACGAAGCCTCTTGCCAGGTTTGGGGGAATCCCCTATCTGTTATAAATAGTTAGTTAACTTAGTTATATCTCCCCGCTGAGTCAACACATAAACCACCCAAGGTACTCATACCGAGGCGTGATAAGAGAAGATCTACACCATGAAAGGTTTGCAAGTATAGAAACGAATTTACGCGCTGGAACCAGTAAGCGTTCCTTGACTCATCCGCTATCCCTGGAAAACGCAGGTCCTGGAGGACTCTCTCTCCACCAAGCAGTCTACCACGAAGATGATGTGTAGAGGACTTTGGTTACATGTTCACTAGAATTGAGCTAGGGACCCAATTGTATTTAACCTTAAGCATTCATTCAACTCATTTTGCCCAGCGAAAATAAAGCTAAGTCTTCAAAAGAAGAAAGCAAATCCTGCCCATCGCTATGCGACCACAAACGCCTCGCCATCCCAACGCCGAGCCACGACCGAAAAGGACAGAATGACAACCCGAAAATAAGAAACTCCGTCAGCTCATGTGAACATGGAAAAGGTACCTCTGCCGAATCTGCGCAACATCGTACACGATGTACTCATTATACAGTAGACTGCCATTGTCACACATCGTGGACTTGGACACATCCGGCATCTGCACACCTGACAGTGCTGGATGAAGACAGCCTGCATCCTTCCAACCCGCCGGGATAGTTCGCCCTTTTCCGAGCGTCGCGATCTTGCCCTGGGCCTTCGCATCCGTTCCTGCGTTGAAGTTGGCCTGGAACTGCTCCAACATGGGGTTTCCAAGCTCGACATCGCAGAGGAGTAGCAGACCCATGTTGGCGCTGTTGTAGGGGACACAGTAGTTTGCGGATTTGCTTGACATGTCAGCGAAGTAGACGCCCTTGCCGAACATGTATCCTGACATGGGCGCCTCGGGCGGTGCAATGCGAAGACCCTGGCTTAGGATACCACCGTAATTGGTACTGCGGGATCCGTGCCACAATAGACGGCGATTGCTGTTCGTTAGATTTGCATAACAAGAAGACTTGAACCGATCCTCTTCCCCCTTGCGCTCAATGCGGAAGATGTTGATGACCTGTTTGTGGTGAGTATCCTGAAACTTGGTTTCGGGGGAAATACTCACGCTGAAGCGAAGATGGTGCGTCGAGCCGCGAGAATTATTCAGGTATGCTTCAAGTTCACGGAATTCGGCCGAGGAACGGTTCACTACACGGGTTTTTTGTCACGAAGAGCATACGGCAGACTTACGTGGAGTCATCTCCTGCATTCCCAGACCCTGGTACTGGCGATCCAACTGGTTTATCATCTCGGCATCCCGAGAGTTCTTCATGATTCCGTTGGCAACACCCATGTCGGTCAGTGCTTCCAGCAGATCAACCTCGGTCTTGATCTGATGATCTTTAGTCAGGACAGGAGGCGTATTGCGACCAAATACGTGCGGAATAGTGGTAAAGTAACGATTGCTGAGGTCCAGAGCGGCAAAGTGGAACGAAGTGTTGTATCTCGAGCTCGCAAGGGAGGGATCGGCCACGAGCTCGGACAGATCTTTCAGAATCTGAAACCCAGTCGTCAGGGTCCGCTTGCTCAGCTTGCCCAACGGCAGCTTTTGCGCGTCGTACGACATGGACGCCATCGTGGACAGGAAGTGTTGCTGGTTAAAGATAAAGGTCAAAAGCTTCTGCACCGCCTGAGGCAGGGTACTCTCGACCTCCTCCTTTTCGTCGACATCCATCTTGTCCGCCTTATCGTCTTCGTCGTCCGACTCTTCATAGTTACGCTCGATAAAGGTGTACTTGTTCGACTTGGGCGTGCTCAGCCGGTCCTCCCATTTTAGGCCCGTCTTGTCTTTGAACTTCTTCTCAAACTCGAACTTGGCTCTCTGCAGAGTGCCATCACCCAGCAGTGCAGATGATCCAAACTCCCCGACACGGCCCCATCGCGTCCAGGTCTTGTAGGTTGTCCCGGAGGTATCAACCAGCAGCTGAATCCGGTAGAACTTATTGTTGTTATGCGCGGAATTCGTCTGGTTCAGCGTTGCATCCCAGATCAGCCCGGAGTCTTCAATAAAGACCGCCCCTATACGGATTAGCCGCAACCTCTTACCATCATTCTCCTAGCAAGTACATACCAGGCATCGTGCACCCCTCGTCAATAGGAACATTCAGAGACTTGGTGCTAGCCTTCTGCGCAGCCTTCTGTTTCTTATTCGCTTCATCGCCGTTGCTAGCGCCATTCGCATCCACTGCGCTATTCGCGGTATCATCGTTCGCATCGGCAAGCTTCCTCTTGTTTGTCTTGGGAGCAGTAGCAGTGGTAGCGCCAGTAGCAGGAGCAGTACCAGTACCAGTACCAGTACCATCCACATTCTGTCCCTGTCCCACGGACGCAGCTCCAGCCGTCAACAGATACGTCTTTGAAGCAAGTGGTTTACCCGCCTTCTGCGAGTCCAACAGCCATTCCAAAGAAACGACGTCACACCCGGGCACATTACATGCTTGCTTGTCTGCGCTCATCAGCAAAACGCGGCTTAGTACAGCCAACGGGGCAAACTGCAAACTTACACTTCACCGTCCCCTTTTCAACCTCCTTCTGCGTCGTGATGAGATGTGTGCAGCCTTCTGAAACTGTAGTGCTGAATGTAGCGCCTTGTCCCTCGACGATAGCCTTCAGGTCCGCTGTTGGCGAATCCGAGCTAGTTAGCCCTCGTTGCCATTATAGTCGGTCAGACAGCGCGTGACACGGCATACCTTGCTTGTAACCCGGAAACGTCCCGCTTACGGCGATGACGGCTTTTTTGAATGTTCGTGGTGCCATCGAGAAGATAGGAGTGTGAGATGTACTCCGTGTGGAAGCAATGGAAGTAAACAAAGATATAGTTGACCTCTGCGGGATGATTCGAAAAGGTGTGAAATGGTCCCAGACCACTCAATGACTTTATCAGTGTTTACAAACAAATTAAGAAGATGAAGATGAAGAATTGAGAAAAAAGGCAATTCAGACCTTCTCTTCGTGGTGTCGTGTGGTCTATTTATCACACTCCAACCCCGTATCTTGTAACTAGTGGCCTGAGGATCCAGGCGCCAATGCGGGCTGCTGCCTGCTCCAAGCGACATCATTTCAGGCAGAAAAGGGGCCTAGCGCTATTAGTGGGTTTAGTCCAGGAACGATCAAAAGCGGATCCACTGGTTGCCAGAACCTAATTGAATTGACAGTGAGGCATCAGATGTATCTCTGTAGATAATGAACATTGTTGTCTGGTGTCTGTTGTTTTGCTAGTACAATGCACTGGGCTCAGCAAGGCAGCACCAACAATTGTCTCATGGCTCATTCAAACTTCAGTTTCAGGTCTCGCATTAAGAGATTCAGGGGTAAAGTCTTCAACATCAGTTTTGAGTCAGTCTCAGCTTCTGCCATTTCCATAAAAGATTTGAATCTTACCAGGTGAGAACCTATGTTCCTCTTGTCTCTTATATAGTGAGACAGTGAGAGACACTTCAGTCTTCTACGAACTACTCCGGATAATAATAAGACATTAAGCCAAGATTCCAAGCTTCAGAAATTTTCTGTTCTGGTGGAGAAATGCTCTACTTGACAACCATATAACCATGACGCCCATCCTCCCGAATGCCAGGACGCTAAGAAGGCAAAAGAATCAAGAAGAGAAGACGAAGAAGGCACACCCAGAAGATCCGACAAGAAAGAAGATGAATTGTCGGTAGCAGACAAAGTCAATCATACATGCGCCCGCCCAAACAGATAATCATGGAGGAATGACAGATATAGGAGAAGGTCTATATACAATGAGTACCAAAAGAATAGGACAGTGATATTCACAGAAGATCCTGACAGCTGAGTTACGCGCGTTGAGCGGGCTCCGACGTTCTGTGGCTTCCACTTTCGGAGACAGACTTTGTCTCTTCAAAGGTCGCATCATTTGATTCAGGCTTGGGAGCAGGCTCCTGCGTTGTGGTGTTTGCAACTCCTTTGGTTGCTGGCAAAGCTGCGTGGTCACTCTGAGCCGAGTCAGAGATGATGTCTTCATTAGAACCTTCCCTGTGAAAGCCATTGACGGTCGCAGTATCAGGCTCGGCTTCATCGTCCGATGCTTGAGCGCTTGCGACGGAGTGGAATTCGTCTTTCTCAGCGGACACCTGGTTGTGCGATTGAGGAGTCTCTTTCGACAGAAGACTTGACGAGGAGTAATTGTTAGGGTGGAGAGGAAGTTGGGCAAAGCCATTTACAGTTGAGTTATCAGGGTGGGACGCCACGGATCGTCTGCCGTTCGGAGAGGAGGAAGTGGAGGAAGTGGGAGAAGTGGGGGTTGATTGTGACATGGGAACTGGGTCCCGATGAGGATTTCGGGGTGGTAGAGCAGGAGGCAAGCGCTTTGGAATGGTGACCAGCCGGGCTCGGGTGAATGTGGGCGAATGACGTTTCAGCTCTGGAGGAGCTGTTGTGTCCTCAATGGACACAGGGGAAGAGGGAGTGGTGCTCTCACGCTTGGAGACGGTAGCACTACTGACCTCGTGGACCTCATAGTCATCGTCCACAGAGTCCTGATCACTGTCGTACTCTCGATGCCGGGTGAGATGGGCCGGCCGCTCCGGTATCACGGTATCCCAGCCGTCCTCTGCGTCCCACGGACTGCGCCCGATACGATCTGCACGGGTGCTCCTTGAAGAGGCGCGACTGACTGATGTAGAAGCAGTAAAGGGGGCCTCGTCGGTCTGCGTCCCTCGATCCACACTGGCGTGGCTTTGAACGCTCGCTCTCCAACTGCTGCGTGGGGAGCTATCCAAACTCCGTCGGAAGGTGGAATAGATGGGACTCTGAGGACTGGGTTTGAATTCAAAGACATCTTGCGACGGTCGCGATCGAGTCCCGGCTTCGCGGATGAACAAGCCTTCGGCTTCCAGAGCCTTTACCCCGAATGGATCCGGGTCATCGGGATCAGGGACTCCGAACGGAGTCGCTGGCTGAACTTCGACATCGCCCGGCGTCTGTCCCGGGGGAGGAATCCAGTTCTCCTCCACATCGCTGTCACCTTGCGCGGCCTTGATCGTCTGGATGAGGGTCTTGATGGACCGTGGTGGCCGCTTCACCTTGCCGGCCAGAATGTCGGTGACGGATATCCTTTCGCCATAGAAACGCTCATTTTCGTCTGTGCGTTCAATGATGATCGTTCCGTCCACCTGGACGCCAGCGTATAGACCCCGGCTCTTCATATATGTCCAGATGGGTGCCTGTCGCTTGTGAACCTCCGACTCCAGGACACCTCCCACCCCATAGGGACCAGCCGCCGCGCTGACCTCTCCTCCCAAAGTACACCGCACTTTCTTGAATGCTTCCAGTGCCTCGAAGGTGTTGATAACGACCACGCAATCATAAATGTCCACCCCGGCCAGGAAACCGATACCAGCGGTGTGCAGCATGATACCGGAGGGTGGACTCCATTCGCCTGTTTCAGGAATGCGAGCCAAAAGCACACCGCTTCCACCCGAACCACTCAGCCATAATCCCGTTCGCATTGTCGTGAAGATGGCGAGGCCCACTGCGCGTTGGATCACCGGCGCGGGGATCTTCTTCATCACTCGCTGCTTACCCTTGGGACGATTGATCTTCCCATTGCTGTCCGTACCGTTTTGCTCCAAATCTTCTTTGGTATAGAAACCATCTTTGCAGAAGCTGCGCATGATGCGAGCTGCCTTGTCGCTTTCTTTGTCGAGAGTCATGGGCCAGAAAGCCTCCGCCCCAACGCGATTCGACAACCGATTCACCGGCGCCCCTAGCTTATCGACCGTATTCCATGCCTTGTCGAATCCCTTCTTGCCGCCCACCTTGGCCTTTTCCCAAATCGAGGGAGCCATTGCGACGACAATTTGGGAGCTCGCTGAGCCGAATCCACAGCCCTCGTAAAGACAGGACCAGGTCTCTCGATCGGAGAGGGCGCCGACTCTATATTTTCAGATTAAAAACCCCAAACCGTCGAATCGCGACGGGAACAGTAAACATGCGCGACGGAAATTGCCCGTAAATGACAATGGAATGTAAAAATGCGGAGGAATTAGGTATAGTGTCGTTTATTGCCGCAGCCGAGGTATGCTTGCCAGACAAGCTTTGGAATGCAGCTAAGGTTAAAGACAAAGGTAAGAGACAAATTGGACTAATGGTAAAATCAAGGGCACTGAGATGTATTATGTATATGAATTGCGCTGAGCTACATGAGAGAAGGAGAAATATCAGTCACTGGGTCACTCCGCGCTATCCGTGTTCAACGGCCGGAAGAGAGTGGCGATGTCGTCGCAAGATGAAGGTAGGATGGGGAGAGAGGAAGAGTATAACCATGGAACGGGAGAACAAGGGAAGAGGCCCAAACTTACCTGCCCAATAACCCAGGAGCAACGGAAAGAAATAATAAATAATAAATAAAGAAGGGACCAGAAACAATCCGACGGGGATGGACGGAAGATGGGGATGAGGTTCAATAATATCTTGAAGGACGAGCAAGGTATGCAGGCCAAGGAGACAAGGGAGGTCCTGTAGGAACTTGATGGTCCTATCTATATCAGGGCAATAATGAAGATCTTCAAGGAATCAAGTAGAGGAATGAGAAGGTAGTATGGTCATATATCATTATAAGTGTTATTCGTCTCAATCATCATGGTCCATGGTCGTACATGATAGTAGTCGTCAATATTTAAACTTAATAGTCCATATAAGTACCTAAGATAGAAAAACCAGGGACGACCAAGGCGCGGCTGGATCGGAAATGTATAGTTGGAACCCAAAGTGGCGCCAAGGCTGGACCTGGAGAAAATACAGAAAGTACTAGCAGACGATAGGAAGAAGAAAAAAAAGAATGGAAATGGGAAGTGAAAGTGGAAATGGAAGTGATGGATGTCATCATCATCATCGACTTCACCTGGGCGTCATCATGGGACTAACCTAGTTGTTATCTAGACTAGTAGGAAGTTAACTTAAGTATATTGGTAAGGCTTAGCGATCGGCGACGCCGGAATAGGTCACTAAAGAGGAGTATTTGTAAGTACCACTGTCGCTGTCTCGAACTTACATGCTGTACTCCGGAATAGTCTATCCATTTCTGTCTCTAATTATTGATAATGACAATGTGTTTGTTTGCCAGAACAAAAACATTCTTTATGTTTCCTTCTTTCTACCACAGGAAACCCATCGTTTATCAAATGGAATCTATCGTCATCGACTACGTACATCTAGTTGAATAGACGATTCATGGATGTACCTGGAACAGAACCACTGGTTGCAATGGTCACTAATGCCTTGGTCTAGATTCTCATACTTTCTAGCCGACTGGTTCTCTTCTCTTCCCTTCTTCCAACCGTCGTCAATACACCCAAAGATAGCGTGCAACTCTCCGAAATTACTCTCATTATTGACAGAGTTTGACTATTCCGCTCGCACATTGAATTGGCGAAAGGGCAAATTTCTCCCTGCATTCTAGAGGCCCACTACTGTGTTAGGCACATATGACAGCTCCAATACCACATCCCTTCGGCCCCAACCACTCTATTATCTGTTTACTCGATGTAGATATACGCCAGACTATTCCATATCATCACCGTATAGACTAGATTATTTTAGCCTTGGCTGTCGGATCGAATAAATGATGGTGGATCATGAATCCCTTTCGCGTCCGATCCACGACAGGAGTCACAGGACAAAGCTTCGATATATCCCTTGGTTCGATGACAGATCCTGTCACCCTGTGAACACTAGACAGAAGCTTACGCAGTAGATAGTTTGCCGTCTGTACAGTAGCCCCATCAATAGTTCCGTATCCCGAAGCTTTCTTGCCATTAAGCTGCGATAATACATTCTTGTCTGTGTCCCTGAGCTCGAGGGCGTCCGCTGTCAGTTGTCAACCATCACCTGCACGATTGTCAAGTCTCGTTGTCTTCCTGCACATTCTTTGTGGCAAGTCTTCATCGAAGCGCATGAGGCACTCACTCTGTTGAAATATAGGCACATGAGACTTAAATACAAAAGCCGGTTCCGATTCTCATCAATTGGTCTGTCCGACTATTTCACATATACTCGAGAGTGATACGCCCAACGCTACCAACTATATACGGCTTACGCAGAGCATCATTCAATGACAACCCCAACAACTAGACACAATAAAGAATCAAACTATCTATTCATCCCGTCATTAAGCTCCTACTGCAAGCCAGGATAGCAAAACCTTCCATGATCCTAGTCTCGAATGTCTGGAATCGCAAATGTGATAGATGACACACATTAGCTTTCTCCACGGATCGATAAACACTAGCATACCCCGTAGATCGCCCACTTTCGCCAATCGCCACAAAACAGCCTGTATTAATTATTCATCTCTTCAGGGATCTACCTAGATTAGCGTACTTGGATGTCTAAAGCCACTCCATATCCATAACCCATTTCCCTGATCACCGGCTCGAAAGTGAAACAAACTACTGTACTCCGTAAGGACTAGCAATAAGCAAAGATTACGGAGTAAATTCATAAAACCCGATCCGGGTTGGAGAACACAGACCTCTGGTAATCTATTGGTGGGATCGTGGTTCAGGAGATGGATGCCTCACAAACTCATTTCGGTTGGCACACGACTCGCCTCACGAGTCGTGTACCGTGATATGTCACTTTCTGGCAGTATACATCAACAGTGTCATATTTGTGATGAGCAGGAGATAGTCTAAACTCTGAGCAGGTGATAGACACGAGAGGACGAGAGTTGCCGTCTGCCGGCTATGCTTAACACTATCGCACGCTAACATGTTCGCATGATCCATGCGAACGGGATACCCGGCAATTAAAATATACACATGAGATCTGTCATCTCGATTCATGTGGCAACTCAGTCCCGGACTACAACTTCGATTGTTAATTACAAGGTAGGTGTAACTCCTAGGGAGCAGTTTTTCAAGTCATGGTATTCTGTCAGTAGATCTAGCTCTGGCTAGTCCCGTAGTAAGTCTAATCATAAGAATATGCATACAGATCAAGCATACATCTGGCTCATTTACACGATTGAAATCACAATCACAGCGCACCGAGCTCCTTCAGCTTGCCGATCAGACCGTCAACATCCTCCACCTTACCGCCGCCCTGGCGCGCAGGAGGTTCTGTCATAGTCAGCATCCGTTCTGCATTATAACAAGAAGGAAAAAAAGACCTACCAGTAACCTTGATCGTCTTCAACCGCCGCTTATCCTCAACCCCAAAATCCTCCAGCTTCTTCTTCTCAAGCGGCTTCTTCTTCGCCTTCATGATGTTCGGCAGACTAGCATACCGAGGCTCATTCAACCGCAGATCCGTCGTGATAACCATGGGCAACTGAGCACGCAGCGTCTCAACACCCCCATCCACTTCGTGAGTGACCTCCACCGTCCCCTTCTCGTCCTTGATCTCGACCTTGCTCGCCTGCGTCGCCTGCGGCCACCCCAGCAGACCCGCCAGCATCTGGCCCGTCTGCCCTTGGTCACCGTCAATCGCCTGCTTCCCCAAAAGCACCAGGTTGATGTTCTCCTGCTTCACCACTGCCTGCAGCATCTTAGCCACGGTCAGCGGCTCCATGCCCCCGTCGTTGCTGTCGGGGACCTCGACGTGGAAGGCCCGGTCCGCGCCCATGGCCATGGCTGTCCGGAGCGTATCGACGCACTTGGCTCCGCCAGCGGAGAGCGCGAGGATATTGTCGACTTTCAGGGGGCCCTTGCGCTCGCGGAGGCGGACGGCCTCCTCGATCGAGAGCTCATCGAAGGGGTTGAGGGAGTGCTTGACGCCGGCGGTCTCGACGCCGGTCTGGGTCTTGTTGATTCGGGGTTTGATCTTCAAATATTATCAGCATCATTTCAGAATTATACCCACCCGTAGACAATCCTCAGAGTCATGGTACAGATGATTGACGTGTTGCGTTCAGCTCCGGCCATAGGCCTCGGAGCTCTGACTCTTCACCGAGAACGGAGTATGCCAGGGAAAATGTAACTCACCGCGTAGTCGATCACCCTCTTCACGGGGACTAGAATCCGCAATCCGCTCATTGTGAATCTGAAAAGAAAACTACCACTCAATGGTGTGAGATAAAAGACCTGGTAATTGGAAAAGGGAAGCAGAAATGCAAGTCGGAAGAGACTCAGTCCCAAGGCAGTCTGGGGCCAATTGAGCGCAGGTGACTTAGGCGGAGAAGGGCGAAATAGTGCAGAAAATAACCCCATGGCCGATGCGGCCCGAGAAATCCAACCGCAGCATCATCGCCCGCAGACCCCTCCGTCTCCAACCGAGGTTACTACGCCGAACTCTTGGACAATGACAATGCTGGTGTTAAGAAATGGCTATTTGCGGAGTAATAGGGCATTCGAACTGACTACTTATGTTGATCAGAAAAAGATAATGACGATCTTGATGTTGACGATACCAGTGTCTAGTCTCGATGCGTTTCATTAATCTATGTATTTTGGAGAGTATATGTTCAAAGACCACCATATCTCCAGCAGCATGTGACAACCCATGACACTAGGCCTACCAAGCTACCAAGTCTCTTGTTTATACCGCCCACTCTTCTCCATACCTATCAGACACTCCTCCGCTCCGCGTCGGGCGAGCTGTGGTCCATCGGCTTGCCCACCATGTTCAAATGCTTCAATGAGCGCCTCTCTGACTGCCTGCGGCATCCTCCCGGATGAACCACAGATATACACCGACCCATTCATGTCGTGGAGCAGCCTGAAAAACAGTCCGAAATTGCGTCGTATGATATCCTGTACATAAATCTTATTTCGCTGATCTCGTGAAAACGCAGTGAAGACCTGCAAGTCAATCAGGTCGCTCAGTTCTTGCCACTCCTTCTCGAAGAAAAAGTCCGCAGCGCGATTGCGGCCGCCGTAGAGAAGAATCGTAGGCCCGATCGGGGGCCTGGCGTCTGGATGCTCCTCTCGGTACGCTTTCACGAAAGCAGCTTTCTCCCAGAGCATTGAGCGCAAGGGCGCGACGCCGGTACCAGGTCCGATAAGGACAGTCGGGCCAACCAGTTGGTTGACGGATGAGCTGAGTCCCCCGCGCTGCAGTTGGACTTTGAGGGTACTGCCTGGCCGCAGCACAGACAGGTATCTTGTACACACTCCTTCTCGGATCCGCTTGATCACCGTTTGATACTTTACAATGGCGATCAATAGCTCGAATTTCGCTCCCCCATCTGATGTCCTCTTCAATTCGCCCCCGCTGGCGATGCTGAACTGCCTCCCTCGAAAGACAGGGAAGACCGACGTCACATGCTGCCATGGGATCTTGACTGAATGAAACTCATGCAAGACTTCCAGGATGCTTCGCCTAGGCCGCGAGGTGTAGTCCCAAAACTCATCCAAGTACTCGGGATTCGTAAACTCGAGGAGTCGTTCCTTGTGCATCTCGTTGCTGGTGTAGTGTGCAATGGCCGAGAAGAACGACCGCCGAGGAATGGCTCTGATGTCGATGTAGTCCATCAGGAGCGCTCGCAGCGTCAACTTGGGATACTTTTCGAGACCAGGGATGGGCGGAGCATGTAACTCCCCTGCAGCTTGGAGCTTTTCGCCAGGAGCCAGCGATACCAACTTGTCAGCCATCTCTCCCCAGCCCATCATGTCAATCAGTGCTTGGACATCCTCATCAAAATTCTTCGGCGTGATGCAGACCATGTCGCCAGGGGCATAAGTTACTGCATCCGGGACCGTAAGCGATATCTGGCGCACATCTTGCCAATGAGTGCGTGGTGTGACCCGTCTGTTTTCAACGAGGGTCGCCGTCAATGCATCTGGGATCGGTCTCACGTCGTGATCCAGCCGAGTCAGCCCCGGATACTCGTCAGACGCTGTCTGTTCGCTCGATAAAGTCCCCTCTGTAAGCTCGTCACTTGTTGTGGCCTGTTCTTGCAACCTCAGGATCCATTTAGGCGGCAGTTGCACGTCATCCGGTATCGGATGCAGCCCTTCAGGAAGCGGATACTTGTCCAGCAAGTGACTACGAAAGTCCGTAATCCATGGAATGAATGTGCCTTCAAGTCTAGAACTCAATCAGTCATTGTAGAGAAATCCAGGCGAATTCAAAACTCACCCTTCTGGGTGTTGCGCGTTGGCCTCTCCACGGGGATATATCTCATTAGCCCCGAGTTGGAGTAGACGCTTGTGCAATTTCCGCGCAGCCCAATTAAACCTGGTCGAGTCAGACGCTGCCTTCATACCAGCAACTACAAAGCCACTCACTTGGGATATGAACTATCGCCCAATCCAAACGAAACATAATTGACTCCGCTCAAGAAAGTGGGCGGCAGCTTCTTCAAAAGCAACGATCTCCAAAACGACCTCGCATTCGCAGGAATTTCACCCTGGCCCGTCGTCGACACAACAAATACCGTAAAAGTAAACGATTTGAGCAGCTCCTGCGGCAGAATTGTAAGCAAGGTAGACCAGACGCAAGGGGGAATAGCCTAAGCACGCACAGCCTTTACAGAGTTCATTTCAGCGACATGAGTCACGAAATGTAGGCGCTCGGCTAGCGCTCCAAGCTCTTCGGCCACTTCTTGCGCGTTGCCTGTTTCCGAGCCATACAGGACAAGAGCGGTCCTCGTAGGGGCCTCCTGGACCTGGCTCTCACTCATCCTGGGGTATAAATCATACAATCGCTGCTTGCCGCGGGGCAGATTGTCGCCATATCTGCCCCTCTACGGAGTACCTTATCTATCGCTGCCGTTGGAGGCCTTAGGCCGAAGTTCGGAATGACATCATCTCGAGGGGTTGAGGCCTGAGGCAGCAATTCTTAGATGCCTGCCAATTGAACTTCCTCATAGGTGCTCCAATCTATACAATAGAGACGTCGTGTTTAATAATTTTCTCGCTAACATATTGACGAAGTCTGTCTCGAAGCTATTTCGCTCCTGGCTTAGTCTTAGAAGCTTAGTCTGACTGGTAACGCTGTATATCTTATGGAAACAATTTCAAGCGCCTCCGATATGCTTGACCATGCGCTGCTCCCTAGAATATAGAAACTAAACAAGATGGGGTATCTCAACAATTGTGCCTCAGTAGGTGTCTTCATCTCCACCTCCGCCTCCGCCGTCTGCGAATCCATCATCTCCGTATTCATCGTCGCCAGCATCAAAGTACTGTTCCGCATTGTAGTCCCCGCCCATTTCATCATCATCGTCCTCAAAGTCGTTGTCGACGATCTCTTCCTCCTGATCCTCATCCGGGTCCAAGACATCCGCCTCTTCTTCCCGCTCTTCTCGCTCATCCCGCTCAGCATCCTCATCTTCATCGACGCCCCTTCTACGCTTGGTCTCCTCGACATCATGTTCTTCTTCCTCATCCTCAAATCCCCTTTTCACTCCGATGCGAGGGCCCTGTGGCACGTATCCATCCATTGCGACCGAGGGGTTGAAGTTCGGCTGAATCGTCTTCCACAGCTGGCGAGGGAAGAATTTCATAACTGCAGCCAATCAATTAGCCACCCGTCAACGGTTATCCCAACCCCATATATCCCGCTGGCGCAACACTTACCGTACGGACGTCCTTTTAGCTCCGGCCGGTCCCGCTTCTGCTTCTGGTACTTGCCCGAATACGTAGGCATTCCGTGAAAAGGGTCAAAGTGTGCGCGAGTAGCCTCATCTTTTCTTGCCGTGACCGAGGTCGATTGGAGGACGGAGTAGTAGGGACCGTCGTGGAAGCGATCCCGCAGAGCACGGTAGAGATCGACCTGTTTTTGTTCGCGAGGGTTCAAAAGCCTCGCGCGGGGAACGTTATATCTCTGCACGCATGATGTGAGTAACAGTAGCCCTAGCCTCCCACCAGAGAGTTATCGGAGAATTGGTTCAACGTACAGGGAAAAGAGGCGTAGGCGCTGTGTCTGCTTCCCCGCCAGGATCGGCCTCCCAGGTAAATTCTGCACCGGGGAGCTTCCTGCCTTTCTTTGCTCCAAATCGAGACATGTTGGCTGGACGGACGGCGGAACGAATAGAAGTCCAGGGCTTCTGGAGCAATCACAGATAACTCAGTCCGCCATTTACCAAAGAGCCGTCCGAGTAAAAATATAGTGCCCCGCCGAAGATCTGATGTGGCTTCAAGTTGTGATGACAGCAAAGCCGAAAAAAGTTCTGGCGGAGCTCCGTCTCACCGCCTTTGATGGACTTCTCCATTTGGAAACCAGGGCATCGAAAAGGAACCCTACAGATCGTGATGTATTGTGAGGTTAACAAGTACACTGTCTAATTATTTCTAGCTAGGTTTGCATGAAACAATAGAAGGCATCATTAGTTCATAATCTATCCGCACATTGAAATCGATATCTGCGTAGAGTTGCGGCACTCCCAAGCAGAGGTTCTCACAACCCTACAGTCTCAACGCGAGCGGTATTTTGCGCGACAGGTCCCCAAGGACCTTCGCTGACCCGTTGTCTTAACGTACGGACAATATCCTCGAAACCTGTTACTTGGCCGCCCGTCTCCTTCAAATGGTTATACAAGGCAACAAGGACCTCGTATTTCGCGGTGGCAACTTTCCACACAATGTTCTGAGTGTCTCCTGCTCCACCTGCAACAAACTCCGCATAGGAGCGCGGAGGCTTGAACAAATAAGGCAGCAGTATGGTTAAGGCCGGCGGTGTGAGGATAGCCCAGACGCCCGAGGAAGGAAGCAATCCTTGTGTAGCTGGAGATAAGGTGCCTAGTGCCTCTTCTGAAGGCAGCTGATACCGGGAAGTATCAGGAACGGGTGATATGACCTCTCCCGACAGCACTTGCCAGTTAGCTGTGATAACAGCCTTCATGAAAGATATAGCTGCTAAAGAAACATCCTTCATCGCCAAGATGTCAGCTGCAGCTACGATATCTGTCCAGAAGTTCGGGTGCTCGTTCAGATACATGAAGTAGAGGACACGGGCCGCTGCGGCTTCTTTATGCCAGTCAGTGGGCGTCTGACCGGAAGTATTGAGCTCCATCGAATCGCTCAAGTCGAGCTTTTGTGGCCCGTGGAGTATTTTGGCCAGAGCGTCCAATGCCTCTCGGCAGGGGGGACTTGTCGGAACAGCCAAAAGAGGATTGGCGCCGTGCTTAGAGGCCTCGACGAGTAACACACGGGGTAAGGAGGAAAGGATGACAAGTTGACCAGCGGGGGCTTGCCCATGCGCCCATTGAGAGGACGAGATAGCGAGCGACTGGGAGATCCGTGAGATGATCTTGTCCAGCAGGCTACTTGGATTCTGCAGCAAGTGATTTGGATATAGCTCCGCATACTGTGCAATGTAAGCCATGATGGGGCCACGCATGTATTGCAAATCCACAGTATCCAATTTGGTCTCATCCAGGTATAACTCCAATACGCTGCCATGTAGACCATGAGCGATCAGAAAATCAAGGGCCGGTGAGGAGAAAGTCGACGCAGACTGCACATAGACTCTGGCTCTCAGACCAGGAGCTTCAATGTCAAGCAGGTCCCGGAAGAAGTTCAGTAAGGTCATGTGCATCAAGAAATCGCTCTTGTCGACCATCCGACAAGCTGCAAAATGCAGAATGCTAGAGGCATCGTACTTAGCTTCAATCTCCGGGACCTGAGAACTTGAAATTAAGTCCCATCGTAGGTGGCCTGCCTTGACAATGAAACCCATAAGCCTTCCCTGGGAGACAGTCCTCTCCCGCTGCGGGCGGGCGCCTGATTCATTGTTCGTGAGACTGCACATGGAGAAGAGGCGCCCATAGACATTCTTGTCAGTGAAGACTCGTCTCCAGAATAGACCTTGACCTCCCGTGCTAACTTCAGCCTCATGGGTATGTGTTTCGTTTTCCAGCGGACTGGCTAAATCAATCTCCAGTAGAGCCCAGAGAGCGTCAAAAGCAGCCTGAGCGACGGCTGTCGAAGTAGTCGTAAGCCAGAGTTCGACGAGCGAGGCTACCAATTCAGGATCACCAGCAACTATCGCAGCATCACTGGGAACTCTTCCAGCCTTTCTCAGGAGAGCTAGAGCCAGCAGGTTGACAGGCGGCGACGGTGCTTTGAAACCCGCGATAAAGTCAATAGGAGGCTCGACGGAGCGGATATCCGTGAAGGAGAAGTAGGTTGTAGCCTTGATACCAAGAGTTGTAATCGGCGTGGGATCTTCCTGAAGGACCGGAAGGAGCTGTGAGATTAGTGTCAGAAGGGTGCCAGGAACCCTACGATCTGTAGTCTCCGTAAGCTCCAGTTTTAGCTTGTCGATGAGAGAAATGTCCAAAGGAGTTGAAGGATCATCCAGGACATGCTGCAGGTGAGCTTTGACTTCGTCGTACGATGACGGAACAGCCATTTTGTCCGAAGTAACAGAGTATCCTAACCGCTTGTCCAGCTGCTGGGACACTTGCGAAAGATAAAGCGGGACTTTATAGATGGTCCGGACAACAGCGGGGAAGCTCAACGGCGTTGCAAACAGCGCAAACACCAACCGTAGCTCATCAGCTTGGGCAGTTGGCAGTTACAACGCCTTTCAATGATGATGATACCAAAAGTCTCTTTCTAATTGTCCTGTTAATATTCTATTTTGCGCAGCTTTGGAGTCATGGCTGAAACTATTGGGTCTCTAGTATCCCAGAAATCGTCCGATTCAGGTCTTCATATCCAACTGCACCCGCTCGTCCTCCTCACCATCTCAGATCATATCACCCGTCATGCCGCTCGATCACAACAAGGGCCGATCATCGGAGCTCTTTTGGGACAGCAGAACGGACGTGTGATTACATTAGAGCACGCATTCGAATGCATCGTGACAGAAGGAGCCAACGGCGAACTGCAGCTTCTCCACGACTGGTTCGTCGAACGAGTCAAGCAATGTAAGAGCGGAGCTTGTAGTCCATATTTCCATGACTTCTAGCTGACTAGCTTCCTATAAACAGTCAAGGATGTACACAAATCCCCCGCCCTCGACTTCGTAGGCTGGTGGTCAACAGCCTCGCCTTCTGGCCCGGACGCATCCCACTTGCCGATCCACCGCCAGATACTCCAGAGTTACAACGAGTCTGCCGTGTTCGTCGCATTCCACCCATCGCAGGTGCAAGCTGCATCAAGGAATGGCGCCAAGCTTCCCCTGACCATCTACGAAAGCGTATATGAAGGTGAAAATGCGACGGAGAACGGCAAGGCGATGCAGATAGACGGCGAGGAGCAGTCGCTCTCGATCCGATTCCGCGAACTGCCGTTCTCCGTCGAAACAGGGGAAGCCGAGATGATTGGCATAGACACGGTTGCAAGAAGCGCAAGGACAGCAGCAGCTCTTCAACCGTCTGGCGCTAGCCTGGGTGCTCCCGCGCAACAAGACGCACAGACTAGCCAGAAAGCCGAGGCTGGCCAGGCCGAGCCGTCGCCCGACACTGTGGTACTCTCCCACGAAGAGGAAGAATGTAAGATCATCATACTTTAATTCTCTTGAGCTATCAGCTAATTCGGCCCTCGCAGTAATCGCCAGTCTTAACACACGCCTCAACGCCATCCGCACGCTCGAGTCTCGAATTTCCTTGATCAAATCCTATCTCGCCAGTGTATCCCACTCATCCGAAGACCAACCCACCGAAACCACAAAACCACCCCTCTCGCACCCCATTCTCCGGAACATCAACGCCCTCTTATCACATCTATCTCTCCTCACGCCGGAACCGGGAAGCGCCTTTGCGGCGGAGAGCCTCGCCCAGCGAAACGACGTCCTCCTGGTCTCCTTGCTGGGACAGCTAGGTAATAGCATCAAGGGCATGCGCGAGCTAGGCCGCAAGACTGCTATCATGAACAACATCAGACAGAACAATGTGTCGCGGAAGACTCAGCTGGCTATGCAGAGTCGGCTCGAAGATGAGTTTCTTTCGCGAGAGGGATGACTCTTAAATAGTGTGGTCTTGCCAGTTTAAATGCATGTGATGACCTGCGCTTTCTTAATGACTACTCGGTCTTTTATGGTTCATAGTGGCGTTTGGCGTTTCGCGTTCGCTCGTAGAAGCAAGCATTCATAACGAGGGATTAGATAGTGAATCAAAACATGAGCCAGGGAAGCTCGAGCTCGACTACCACTCTCATTGCGAAGAGAATGACCTGTATAGTAATTGCATACGCACTGACAAGCGTCCTGATATATCAACTGCTATTGTACAAAGAAATGCATCCAATGCAATCCCGCGTTTCATGAAAAAGTGAATCATAACAAAATGCAAGCGAGACTTGCTGGTCCTCGCCCCAAGCGTCCCTACGTCATGCACAAAGCAAAGAAGGGGAAACGAACCCTGATCAGAGTAGAAGAAAACTGCCACAGACGAAATACGACAGGAGGGTATATCAACAAAAAGAAAAGAAGGCAAAAGGAACGCCTGAAGAACAAGCCAGCTAGTTCGTAGCATGAATGAAGGGAAACGAAGGGCGGAACATCAATCATTCCCGGGGTCGAGGTGTACTGCAACTCAGGGTCATTACTGTTGACGATCGTCTATCGCCGGCTGTGCTCATTGTCAAAGTGGGCAGGCGGAGGCTGGTACGGATCAGGCATTGGTATCGGTGGTTGCTCTTGCAGGTAATTCTGATCGTACGGATGATGACCGGGCGCTCCCTGCTGAGATTGGGGGGGATTGGTGCCTGCGTATAGATGGAGGTCGTCGGTGTCCGGTACCTCGTAAGGGCTGCTGTGGTGTTGCTCATAAGGAGAGTATGATTGTGGAGAGTGAGATGGTGTAGGTTCCAGCAAGGAAATGCTACTCAGCCGATTATGCTCATAGTCATATGGTGGGGGCGCCAGGTCACCAGTCGACTGCAATGTCGGATTTGGCTGCGCATGGGAGAGAAGAACTTGGCCTTCATCATCGGGAGATGTCCCATAGGGCGCCGGTCTACTGCCAGCCATCGTGGCGCCTGCGCCTGGGTAGGCTGTGACATTTGTCCCGGAATCATTGCTAGTTGTAGCGAGACCGATGCTCTGAATCTGATAGCTGGGATCCAGTGTTCGCTTCTTACGCCCCACAAAGAGCCAGCGTATGCTGCGGCCCACGGCCTTGGCTAAATCGAGCGGATTGACCGAGTCAAGGAGACCTTTCATCCCCCAGCGACCACCCTGATAAGTCGCTTTGCCGTTGCCATAGAAGTCAGTCACCTCATCGGCGTGTGCGTTGGCGAGAGAGTACGGCCTCCACGGGAATGCCCACAGATGCAAAAAGGAAAAGATCGCCATCTCAACGCAGATGAGTAGGTTGGGGAGTCCAACTTTGAGGTCCTGTTGCGCTATTCTACCACTCGGCTTGATAGCTCCGGAGGAGGAAAGAAAACTGATCAAGGTCTGAGCGAGCCGCCGAGTCAGCATTGGTCACGAATCGGAAGAAAGGGCTCGACTCACAGACTGCCAGAATGAGAGGAAAATCACCAGCTTGATAGAGACGATCTTGAGGAGTGGTGAATACTGGCTGATATCATCCTTGATCTGGTAATAGAACTGGATCAGGCAGTACATTGCAATCGAAACAGCAACACACTCCACTGCCATACACTGCTGGCCGTCAGAACACGGCCTGAGAAAGCTGCATGATCCAGACATACCCATATGTGCGAAAACGCGGGGTTCAGACTCTCCTCGCAATACACATCAAAGTGCTGGGTGATAACCGCGACGATGGTCATCAACACGCGCAGAAGACAGTATTGAAAGACTCCTACCCAGACAACCTATGCAGCATAACGATCTTAGCGTTGTCTTTCATCGTTGCATGTGAAACCAGCTTACGTTGAACCATGTCAGCCCGCTCCGGGGTACCCTCCACATCCCTTTCTCCCCGCCGCAGCATTTCTGAAGCCAGGGTATAGGCCAGAGCCATTGCTTCGGCGTGATTCCGCGAAAATACTCCTTCTGGCTGTGGAGGTCCGGCGCAATGTAGTGGCAGAGTAAGGCGAAGAAGGCGGCAATCGTGAACGCTTCGTAGCTGTTGCCGATCAGCTCGTAGTAGACCGCGTTTTTGTAGAAGTAGGTGCTCAGCCAGGCGACGAGGGAGTAGATGGGGATCATCCATAGGATCCGAATAATACTAGACAAGACAGGACCAGACGTTAGTCCCAAGCGCCTGTAGAGGGGTAAGCAGAAGCGCGGGGGGGAAAGGAAATCATACTGTCGCTGCTCTATCGGTTTGCTATAATGTGTCGCATGGCTCATAATCAGGTAGAAGGAAATAGCGGCGGCGAAGAGAGCGAAAGCACCCCCAACAATGAGGCATAACTGATGAAAAGTGAGACCGCCATCCCATAAGTCGACTTCGGTGACTGTCAATATTTATTCTCCGGTTAGCCAGCGCTTGTATTATAACAACACAGGAGAGGCGTACTCGTTGAATCCTCCGATGTTGTATTACAAACAGGCCACCCCATGCTCGCGTCAGTCAGAACAAAGGGTTTATTAAAGAGAGTGCTTCAAACGTGGAAAAAGAAAGAAAGTGGTAAAGAGAAGAAAGATATCAAATCTCCGATCCGAGGGCCAAAAAGTTATTGATTGTACGGCGTATGGATCTCTATCTTATCCGCCAAGTCGGCCTAGTCCCGGCACGGCAGATCAACAACCCCTGGAACCAGTAGAGGAGGACGAATATTTCTCGGCAAGGTCGCGGTCGACGACGACAATACTTGGCGATGCAGTCTGATTCAGGGGCGATGAAGACAGGCGACGGAGGGGGAGGTCGGGTACATTCAGCAGAGCAGCGAAAAGAGTTATGAGCCCCTGGACAGAGAAGGAAGAACAGGTATATTATCTATGTGAAAGAAACTGCAAGCGCCTTGATTAAACCCAGGATTTACGAGAAACAGAAAGAAATCTCAAAGCTTTGCGTATGATTTGTTGACTATTATTACTGAATCATGGTAGCAGCCAAATCTCATACACGGTACAGCCTCAAAGGTCCGCTAATAATAACAATGGAATGGAGACACATGGATCCTCATGAAGACTGCGCCTCAGGCACCAGCATATTGAAACATGGTACTCCGTACGGAGTAGATAGACACCCTCTTTCGTACTCGTACTAGTCTAACCGTTAATGGCCAAGCTTTGGTCAAGCCTTTCCAAGCATAAATTGGCTGACTAATCACATGGAGCATTGATTGGTATCAGCATAAGACCATTACAGTGCCAGATCATGGGCAGGATCCAAGGGATCTTCTCATTATCGAAACAGGCTCCGCTGGGCCTTGAAAGCTTGTCTTGCATTGTGATAGATCTTCATGCCTAATATACACTTGTGCGATCGTCCATCTCGTTGAGAAGGAAACAAATCAGAGAAATCAAAGTTGCGTCCCGAGCCCCGCGAAGTGGTACTTTTGATGCGATGTAGATAATACAGTATCTTGTCTTTCAGCCTTACAGCTGTCAAAGATCTCTGGGCGTTAGTCACGGCCTCGTCTGTCATCTCTCCATGAGTCGCCCATGCCGCCTCCACGACCCCGGCCACGGCGCCGTCCGATGCCACGGCCTCCATACTCCGGCCCATTGTCAACGAAGAAGTCACCGTCTTGGAACGTGATTCGCCTATTCTCATCGCCGCCACGACGCGGAAATGATCCCTTCCGCAGCAGGTCATCGAACCGATCCAGACGTCGGTCGGCCACTTCGCGAGGGACACGGAGGTAGTAGAGCTTTGGTTTAGTTGTAGTGGACTCAAAGAGATCATCCAGCGGTTTGAATCCTTGCCCTGGTCTAGGACGAGGCTCCGGGGGTGGAGGGCCGCTAGGACGTCTGTCCTTATTACCCATGCTTGCTCTGGGGCCCAAGGGAGGGGGACGAGAGAAGTCAGTCGACGCTCGACCGGGGGCCTGACGCGAAGCGGCACCCTTGAGATCCACTTCCTGCAGAACAGCCTCGACACCATTGTCGGTCCGATCATAGCGGACTTCCCAACGAGGCGGGGGCCCACCGCGCCCGCGCGATTCTTCCTCCCTTGCGACCCATTGCTGCAGCTTTTGCTCGGGGATGAAATCAACAAACAAAGCTTTTCTGTTGCTTTCGTTGGGCCAGACAACACCGTGCAAGGCGCTTCGCGCTCTGGAGGCAGCCGATATATTCGCGAACTTTACAAAACAGTGCGTTTTGATGGGATCCAAGTAAAAGTCAACGATCACGTCAGGATCGGGTGATGAGCCAGGGGCCGTTGCGATGCTGATAAGATGGATTTTGAGTGCAGCAGGTTGAAGAGGGCGCATCAGTCCATCGATATATAACGCTTCGGTTGCGACATGTAGCGCGGGTTCGACCTCGGCATCTTCCATTTCCGTATCTGCTGGAGGTGATGGGGGGCGAATCTGCTCTCTGTCTGCTGGTGCAAAAAGGTCTTTGAAACGAGCATCTTGCTTGATAGACGCAGTTCCCTTCGTCCGCACATCATCACTTATCGATACACGACGAATCGCATCATTTCGTTCATCTCCATTTTGGTTATAAGCCTGTTCGTTCTCTTCAGGGACGGCGGCCGCCTTCTTTCCAGGACTCTCTTCCACATCCATAACATCACGATCTTCAGGCAGTAGAACTCGGGGCGACTCCTCCTGTGCCTTGGCCCTTTTGCTTGCAACCGCCTCCGCTGTTGGGATGGGAGTTTGACTGCGCCGCTTCCGCTTCCGAGTGTCTTCGATCATCTCCTCCACGGGGAGGGGCGTTGACAGCCCGGTAGTCTCTGCAGATACTTGAGTCGCAATCTTCTCAGCAGAATCCGGAAGTTCTTTAGAGTCCTGTCCGTGCACCGCTTCTGCGCTTCCGGGAGCCTGCTCGACCGGTTCGACAGGGTGCTCAGCTTCAGGCTGTGGTGGCGCGCGTGAAAGCGCACTGCTTTCACTGCCAATTCCCGCATCTGCAACCTGATTGACTTCAGATTCCTTGCTGAAAATTTCGGGCTGTGTCTGCTGTAATGAATCCTCCGCTTGTTCCTCCGCCTTTGTATCAGTCGTCGATCCTTCCACTGGAGGCTCAGACTTAGGTTGTTCGGTCTGAACATCTGGTTGCTGCTCTTTCTGTTCCTCTTTAGGCGATCGCTTCACTTCTCCATCGTCTTTGGGCTCTTCCGACCCCGGCGCTGTCACCTGCGCCTCGGGCTCTTCCGGCTGAGAAACGACGGCATCGGGTTCTTGCGCAGGCTGTTCAGGCGTTGCCTGCTCGATATTTGCAGGCGCATCTTGAGAATTTGTCGATTCGCCATTCGGAGCTCCACCCTCTTGCTTGCCATCTGCTTCCAGAAGCCTGTCGATGAAATTTTGTTTGACCCTCAGACCAGTCTGCGGAATACCGCGCCGCTTCAGCTCCGCTTTCAGATCGGTCACTTTCCAACTCCAATAATCAGTCATTGTGAGGGAGTAGCGCGCGTTCGCAGGGCGAGAGCATGTATAATTTATTCGAATTTTCTGAGTGAGGTTGAGTTAGGTAGTGGTTGTCATGACTGGGGGTTGCTTGAGAAGATGCGATTCCTTGCAGCATAGGGTAGCTCCAAGTGTTGGTCGTTGGAAGCAGTAGGTGGAATGATGTAGGCGCTAGACTGCTTATGTACTAGTGCTGGCTGCAGGTTTGCCCAGGATGGATTGCATTCGACAGTGAGTTGCCAGAATAGGTTAGTCAGATTCCCTCACAATAAACAATCACTGAGTCCATATCATTGTTCAGAGCGGCTTGATAGCCCTTGAATAGCATTATTGATAATACTATGATGTGGTTTCAATAACAACAAATTTTTCGGAATAGCGTGGCGTCGAAATTATTCACTAAGATATATACCCCTGAGCAGTAGATCTCTCTATCCACAATAACCCAACACCGCATCAGCTTTTTCTTTAAATGCCTTCATTGCAGCGCGATACAACTCAGGTCCAAGACTGATCCGCGCGACCCCAATCTCTTTGAGCTCTGGTACCGTCAAGGATCCCTCTTGCAAGGTCATCTTGACGTTCAGTCTTCCATCAAAAGCTTCAACCAGCCTCTGGATCTCCTCCTTGGACACCCCTCCCCTGGCAGACCCACCCCAGACGAACACTGTACAAGCCCCGGCCTCCAGGTAAGCTCTTCCCCTTTCGATTGCATCCTCGATTGATCCTCCGTTTTGCCCGTCGTGCTTGAGAAGGACATCTGTCCGCGCATTGATCGCAAAACCAGGCACCCCTGCGTCCCTCGCAGCCTGCATGGCAAGCTGAATCCGCTCGATAGCCTGCGACATCGGCCGCAGTCGATTGTTGGCACTATCAAAGTCTTCGAGGTTGCAGCCGACGGCTCCCAGAGCGATGATTTCTCTGATTGTAGCGGCTACATCTTCATAGCCGTCTTGCATATCCACTGTCAACGGGATGCGTGGGAGGCCGTCACCAGGGTTCTTCAGAACAGCGGCAATCGAGCGCACAGCTGCTAGATTCTGGGACAGGGTCAACTTCTCGTCCGGAATGCCTTGAGAGGCGGCAACGGCGTAGCTGGCGGTAGCGATGGCCTTCGTCGAGGGATGCTCGGCAATGATTGAGGCGGTTGCCGCATCGTAGACGTTTGTAAGAACCAAGGGCTCTCCGGGAACATGTAGCTTGCGAAACTTGACTGCAAGGTCATTCTGCATGGTCCTGGTTGTCATGTTGTGGATGATAGTGGTCGACTTCTGGTCTCCGTTGTCTAGTGTACCTTTGAAATTGCAAACAAGAGATATATGATACAGAGCAGAATATACAAGCGACTGCTTTGTTAGAGAAGAAAATCTACAGCTTTATATATATGAGGGGCTGATGACTCTTTTGATGCGGAGGTCCTCGTATATAGATGGAGCTTATTGCTCTCAAACTGGCCAGTCAGAGGAACGGGTGTCTCTGATGTTTCAGGCCTCGGTCGACAGATTCATTAGGCGATAATAATTGCTGGTTCATTCATGAGGTACGAGTCAGCGAACTACACCAGTGCCACGGCTCGCTTTCAACACTTTCTGTGTCTTGCTGACAAAGTACGTCATCCAAAAGCGCTTCCCTTCCAAGAACTTTTCTTTGTTGTGAAAGAATCAAAACCCATCTGTTCTGCAATCGGGGGAACGACGTCCCCAATGAGCACGGAGGTAGACAACGCTTGAATTACTTCTGATTCAAATCATCTTCCTCAAGATCCCTAGATAGGACTTTTTTACGGCTACCAATCCTTGAGCGTTACAGAATACAAAAGGGAAAATCTGATATGATTCTTTTCGAAGGTTGGTGTCTTTTAGGCTAGCGATTGTCGTCAACTGGTTAAGCAATCATGAGTCATCAAAAGGCGGTAGCGGATTACTGGCAGAAATTGTCTCACCGCTTTAATGTGGACACAGACATTCTGATAGGCTCAATATGACGAGATTTCCCCGCGGAGTCATAGTGGACCCCCCGATTTTCGGAGTTAAGGATCACAGGTACCTCTCTGCTTCTCAACTTTTGAACTTCTTTTCTCGACGTCTTCTTTTCTCACAGATCCATCAATTGTGAGGATAATTTTTTATTCTTTCAGTCACTCTGCTTTTACATTTCCTCATTACATTCCCTGCATCAACAGGCCCCCGTAATGGCGCCTCAAACCAATGGTGCTCCTGGAAAATTCCGTCAGTATCCCCCCTTTCACATTTTCGCCCTTCTCTGGTTGCCCCTCATTTTCATGACCTCTTGGTGAACAGCTACTAAATCCCGTAGAGAGAGTTGCCTCCTTGCCTGAAAACCCATATGCGAAACTCATCACGGATCAGTCTATCGCTATCATCCCGTCATTTACCCTGGAATCGGGGGTGACCCTCTACAATGTTCCTGTCGCCTACACAACGCGGGGTGAAATGTCCCCCAACCGTGACAACGTGCTGGTGATCTGCCATGCTCTGAGCGGAAGTGCCGATGTGGCGGACTGGTGGGGACCTCTGCTGGGGGGACCCGGTCAAGCCTTTGATACGTCACGATTTTTCGTCATCTGTTTGAACAGTCTGGGTAGTCCTTACGGAAGTGCAAGTGCCGTGACTTACAAGGATGGCAATCCCGAAAAAGGGCTGTATGGACCTGAGTTTCCTCTTACGACTGTCCGCGATGACGTGAGGTTAGTGGGCTCAGACATCAAAACTTGAGCGTGACGTCGCTGACCAAAGCAGAATCCATAAGATGGTCCTGGACGACCTGGGCGTGCGGCAGATTGCAGCTGTCGTCGGCGGTTCCATGGGCGGCATGTTGACCCTTGAGTACGCCTATTTCGGCAAAGACTATGTCCGGGCGATTGTTCCAATTGCCACCTCTGCCCGCCACTCGGCATGGTGCATCAGCTGGGGTGAAGCTCAGCGGCAAAGCATCTACAGTGACCCCAAATATGAGGACGGTTATTATTCATTCGATGACCCTCCAGCCACCGGCTTGGGAGCGGCACGCATGTCCGCTCTTCTAACCTACCGAAGCCGCAATTCTTTCGAGTCTCGTTTTGGTAGAAACGTTCCCGACCCGTCGAAGAGACAGAATATCAATGGCACCGAGCGTTTGCCGACTCCGCCAAATGAACACTGGGCCATTCATAATGATGGTCACAAGGCCGGCATGTCTTCTCGGGCCTCCAGCGAGCGCAACTCGCCAGGGCCGCAGCAGCCCTCTGAAGTCCAGTATATGGATCCTCAGTTCTCCGGCACAAAGACCTTTAGCTCTCCCGTCAGTAACAGTGACAGGAAGCGGCCCCCCACCTATTTTTCAGCACAATCCTATCTCCGATACCAGGGAGAGAAGTTTGTGAAACGATTCGACGCTAATTGCTACATTGCTATCACACGCAAGCTCGACACTCATGATGTATCCCGTTACCGGGCCAGTCCAGGATCGGAAGATCCCGTCAAGGAGGCACTGTCGCAGATCGAGCAGCCAGCGCTGGTTCTTGGAATCGAGACCGATGGACTCTTTACTTTCGAGGAGCAGAAGGAGATTGCGGCTGGCATCCCCAACTCGAGACTCAAGCGAATTGAGAGCCCGGAAGGTCACGATGCCTTCCTTTTGCAATTCGAGCAGGTCAACCGATACATCTTGGAATTCTTCCGAGAAGTCCTGCCGGACATCATGGCGAAGCCACCTGCCGACGGGGCAGTACCCGTCGATGGCGTTAACAAACTAACCAAGAGCAGCACTTTTGGAGAGGCGGAGGTCGAGGATATCACTGCGTGGTAAGCGGAGACACATATCGACCGAATCGACACTGGCGCATTTATTGCAGCCTCAAATTATCCGCCATGATGCTCTGTTGGGGAGCAGGTGTCCCGGATCTCCTCTCGGTGAAGAGAAGACGCTCCGAGAAGATTTGAGGGCTTGCTTCCGAGCACATCGGCAGCGTGGGGGAGTAGCGGTGCAACTCTTATGATTTCAGTTCTTAAGCCATCAGAGGGACGAGCATCCAACTGCCTCCTTCGTAACCTATTCAACAGGTAAGGCTGTAAAGAAGCATCCAACTGCTCTCCATCATACAAGCCCTGACAGGCCCGTTCTTCTGCGCTCGCAGAGATTCAACTGAGGGTGGTGGGCAACCTTTCAGTACGCAGTATCATTTCAACATAGGCATAGACGTGCATAATACGATAAAAGTATAAAGTATATAGCGATTGCAATCGTTGTTGTTGTTTGGACAAGTTAAGCCTGTTTGTATATGCTCATAGCCTTTGAACTGTAGGAAAAAGGCAATGATGCATGATGTCAATCAGCATAGCTTTCTACTGTAGAGAGGTAGATCATGTGTGCGTCTGAATCATCTCATGCGGCACGGCCCAAAAGGCAACCAGTAACCCTAATTATTCCATCCAAAACTCTACAACCATAAATGACTACAAAAGTATACACAGTACTACTCCCCTCCAAGGTCTCTAGAGACACGGAGCCATATCGATAGCCGGCAATAGCTTTGGGTACCAATTGTAGCTGATTGCTATTGACGACGCATGTCGTTGTCAGGGCAGTTTGGTCATAAACCCCCTTGATTCATCCCTTTCATCACTCCGCTGTCGATCCCTTGCCAACTCTAACATTGGGTTACCGGTGGGCCCATGCATATTCAGTAATCCCTTCTCTTTTACACTGCGCGCTGAGGAGAGAGAAGTAGAGTAAGATGCGCTATGTCTGGAGGGAGCTGATGCAAGATGGTTGAACTTTGAACCCAGTGGTCTATATCTGACTAGATAATGTAGAGTACTCTATTGTTGAATAAGACTTCAATAGTCGTAGATCTCGGCTCAGAGGTCAAAACATCGTCTTAAACCCGGCAAATCAGTTGGCAGTGCTTGCTTCCCTCCCTGCCGATTGATGAGCTGGGGACAGAAGGAGTTACACAACTTATTCAGTGTGACCTTGATGCTTTGAGGCCATTACCAACTGTCTATTTTCTCTCCACTATCTGTTGTTATGATCATTTTCGTAGTACTACTCCTACTACTTCTGCAGACACATTGACAAGTCTAAACCCTGCTTTTTCTCGCTTCTTCTCCCACAGATTATGTGCTGTTCTTCATCTGCAACTTTCTTTTCTGTCTCTCTCTATCTCTCTTTCTGCCTGCTTTGGCCTGGTTGCCTGAACTTTGCCTTGACACCATTTACCGTCATTCGCTTTCCACCCTCTCGCTCTTTCTATCCCTCAACTGCATCTTCCTGACGATCGTTCCATCACACTATCGACTCCCAGCACAGCAGATAATAATCCAGCTGGCTGCCTCTCGCTTTCACTGTCCAGCCTCGGCACGAGCTGCCAAGCTCCACGTACTTTCGTTCACTCCATATTAGAGCGACATCGACCAAGCAACCCCCGCATACCAGTCCAACCATCGCTCCATAACAACCCATCGTGGCAACACTCGTTAGACTTCATTCGATCAAAAAACGCCACTGATTATACCAGACGATCTTGCCATCTGCATAGTCCACAGGGCAAGCCGTGTGATTCGTTCTCGTCTCATTCCCACCACTGGCGCCATCCTCATTCACAGACCACATTTACAAGCATACTTAACGTTGGCCCGTGAATCATTAGAGCTGGTCTCCTTCTGATTCATCGGTCTACCTAATTTCTTCTCTCTTTCAGTCGACGCTTGTCTACAATCTTTGAAGTCATACTGATTTGGCTGGGCTATCAATAACATGGAGCCTGCGCTTTCGAGAAGAAAGAGCATCAGGGCGAAGCCTTCTCTTTCGCTTCTATTTGGCTCACAGGTAAGAGCAGTTACATCAAGTCGGACGACCTGAAATAGATGTTGACACGATACTAGCAGAATTCTGGCTCCGCTCGGCGAGAGGGGTGCTCGAGATATTACGACTTGAAACATACACCCATCATCTTCAGGCGCCGATCTGTGCTGATTGAGCGTCGCAAGATCTCTCCCCGGCTGGAGCAACAGATCCGCTGGTCTTGCGTCTTGCTTGCGAAGAGCATTGAGCAAGAAGAATTTGAACATGATATCAGACAAACACAGAACAGCCATGATGCCGCTCCTCCGCGAGAGAAAGATGAGATCCACACAGCGGTTTCAGCTCCAGGAGAGCAGAGCCAATGCAACCACAACATCAGGAAGTATGACTCTGCTATTGAGCTAGATACTCAGCAGATCTCCAGCCTGACAAATGAGCCTCC